AATTCAATAATATGAATACTATATTATTTTATTATAATATAGTATAGTCCAGACAAAACATGCTTATTACATGCTCAAAAACTGATATTTCTTAAATCTGTATTCAAATGTAGTTCCCTCTGTCAGCAATGTATCAACAACTACACAAATATTTCTATCAGTATTTCTCTGTGTTGTGGTTGACATGATGATGACTGTTAGGAGTTAAGGGGAGAGGCTGAGCATCACCATGAAATGTGCAAATTGACATAAAAATGAATAAAAGGGGGGGGAAAATGCTCCATGTTTTTTAGGCTGTAAACTTGAACTGTTATGTAAGCCAACTAGACAGACAGTGTATCACTCTTCCTCCTGTACATTAGCAGATAAAAGGCATAAAATACTTGAATGAATGGTAAATGAAGGAGAACTGCGTGGAGAACTGCATGGAGAACTGCGTGGAGAACTGCATGGAGAACTGCGTGGAGAACTGCGCGGAGAACTGCGCACAAGCCGAGCTCATAAGCCGAGGCCCCCTGCGCGAGGCCCCCTGCGCAATGTGAGGGCCCCCTGCGCAATGTGAGGCCCCATGCAGCCTGCATGATCGGCCTGTAGGGAGGGACGGCCCTGCCTGTAGACCACGTGTCCATAGGGACTATAATTCGAAGGTTACTGTTTTGAGTTAGTCCTCCTTAGGTCCTTTAATCAAGTGGACAAGGGCCGTTGCCAAGATTTTAGAGGCCATGGGTCTAAATTCCCCCACCCACCATTACACTCTTTAGACTAATGAAAATAAAATAATGTTTTATTGCAGGTATTATTACAAAAACCTTAATGTTAAAGGTGGGGTATGTAATTTATTTCAGAAACACTTGTTGTTGTATTCCATGGAATGCTCTTAACATCCCGATAGCAATGAAATATCTTAAGTGCTTTGACAAAAAATACATAAAATAACGTCATCTGTGGAAGCCGTAGTACTGTAACAAAGCACGACCAATCATTTTAGCCGGCCCGGCTAAATAACTGGATGGCCTACCGCCTGTCAGCCTTCCATCTGTGCACAAACTTATCTTGTGCCCTCATTGGTCTGTGCCCGTTCGTGTGTGTTGGAGGAGGGGCTCGGTAAGGAAGTCTGAAAGAAGAGGCAGATTTTTTTCGGCTGGCGTACTTTCAAATTCAAGCGCACTCGAGCTGGTTTCTCCAAAATTACATACCCCACCTTTAGGTTCTGGCTTTATATGAATCTTGCAGGAATTAAATTGTTTAAGAAAATGATTTACATAATTATGCTTCCATAAGACGGTCCATAATTACTATTGAGAAAACTGAGTGACATTTAGCAGAATAGTTTGTCTGGCAAAACTAAAACGTATTTAAGGCAAACCATCCCCATTCCCAAATACATCATTATTTATGTTCATTGTACTGCACGGCATACCTCATGAGCTTCATGTGTCTTACCAATATTTGTTTGTTTTTTTAAATATGAACACATGATACTAGCTTGTAACCAATGCACACATTCACTTAAAGCAGTCTTTAGTTTTCTCCACTAGAGGGACCTGTTTTGTCTTTGACAATGGCAAGACATTGAAATAATAGCAGCAGTGTAGTTTATATCTGGCAGATTTCCATGTCAGCTTTGTGGCAGAAAAAAATGGCTGTTACAAAATCAGGCAACCTGCTGTACTAATGGGAAAAACATTTTGGCCACATTTCCCGTCCTGAATTGGCTGTGACCTTCATCACTATGTTTTTGTCTGGATAAATAGTCCTCTATACTGAGCTAAGCTCCACAAACTCTCAGTTTCTACTTTCAAATCCCAGAGAAAAAATGTGGTTTTGTTGTTTCCTTTCGCACTCTTTTCCTTAATTTAATGTAATATATCTATAGGCTACAGTATGAATTAGCATAATACATGTTTACCACAATAAAACAACTTATTTAAGGATTCAAAGGGGATTTCTGAGGGATCGTTTTATATTAGCATGTGCAAAATAAATACCATGGGTATGTGCATACTGTGGAATTTTTCTTATAAAAAAGTGACTTCATAAATTAATCTGACAAATCCTCACCTGAGTAAGTTTGCTGTTGAGTGGTCTGAAAGTGTGGAGACTCAGGAGCAGACAGCCAGCCTGTGTTTGGATATCATTGTTTAGTCTCTGGTAAAGAGACCTGGATCTGCTGACTGTAATCATCACAGGAGGAGATGTGTTGTCCAGTTTGAGGACCGGGACATCCAACAGTGAGCTGCTGTCCTCTTCACAGAAAGGAAGAATAGGATCCAAAACAACAGATCAATAAACCAAAGTCAGAACACTTACAGCAGCAATTGTAAAAACAGGTTTGCAAAGAATCTAAAACCAAAGGATAACATACCAACATGCATAGTAGAGTGCACACGTTCATACTGAATTAGAGACCAAGCTCATTTGACAGAGCTGAGAGCAGCAGTTCAGGCAATGAAGATGGAAGCCTTTTAAGGGCATGTTCAACTGTGTTTTGATTCCACTGGATGCTGCTGCTCTAGAGGCTACGCTGAGGTCAGGTTGGTGTGTAGTGTAACAGTCAGTTATCCAGCAGAAAGTTGGCACAAGAATAACACATAAAGCTGGAACTTTATGTTCAGCTACGACTAAGATCAATGGACTTTGAATGTTGTATGTAATGCATACACACAGATAGAGTGAACATCTGAGCACATTTGAATGAGTATGTGTTTACAACTGTTTAAAAAGGTGTAAAGCTTTAAATTCAGAGACTTCAACTCACCACATGACAGTGGTTCCTCATCCTCGTTCACAGAAGCTGCTTTAACTTTTACAAATGTAATCCACCTCTGTAACATAACAGTATCCTCTGTCGTATCAGCTCTGATTGTTAGGAAATGAAGTGAGAAAATGTGCACACAACCCCGACAGATTATTTTGTTTCACAATCCCTTCTGAGGACGTGTTCTAAAATGCTTCCTGCATCTAAACTGGAAAGTGGCGTCTGCTGGTTAACGTGACACAAACAAGTCTATCAGCTTATCTATTTACAGCTGGAGGAACTAAACTGTGATGACAAGCTCTGAGGCTTTAGGTTTCTAAATGTCTCTGGAGCCCCCACATATGTTGGGCAAACAAAGACAGACTTGATTATTTAACTATGTTTTGAGAGTTTGCACCAGTATTTTATTCATCGTAATACTACAAGTCCAGCCAGTACCCACGCTACGAAAACACTAAACCCAGTGTTTACTTGTTACTGTAAATCCTTACCAATGTGTCACTTTATATTTAAGATATATATATTGCAGATATATTTATTCAAACTAGAAGATATATAAAATCCATATAGATCTGTCTACCTACTTCTAATGGAGTGGACACAATACTAGTAACACACAAAACAATTTAAACCTCACAATAGCCCCTCCAAAAACACCACAATGTCAATGAGCACTTCTCTGTTAAGCAAATTTAGAGCGGCAGTTGTCGATTTTGAGGATAGTGGAAATACTGAGTGGTCCTGTTAATAATAACAAGTTAAATCTTTACAATCTGGCAAGTTCTCATAACCTCGTAACATTACCAAGCATTGTTCTCTGTTGACTGTGTAATTATAGACCTTTTGGCAAAGACATGACTTGTTTTAGTAGGTGTGACGAAGTTTTCATTACTAGGCTACTGTTAACCATGTCCTTGTCACATTAAGTGTCAACAAGCCTTGTCAGTGTAGTTTTCCTGCTATAGCTAGTCAAATTCTCTACTGGGAAATGTTGTTTATTGGTATAACTAATGCAATTAAGCCATCGTTATTGTTATTTATTTACCATGTGCCTATATCCTGTTGAAGAATTTCCAAAAAATCCTTTGACTTTCACTGATCAGAAGGATGCATGCTAAATTCGAAACCAAAGCCTTTTTTCATATTCATCTGCTAATGGGGAAATGTTTTCTGTGCTTACTCAAATCTGAAGTTAGGACATGTAGGTACTTTGTTTTTGTGACGTCAGGACTAGTTTTGAAATCACTCAGTCAAGTCGTGTGATGTGAAAACCTAAAAACCTCAAGTGCATAGGCCGAGAACAGGCTTTCACTAAAGAAGCCTTCTTGTATCAATTGAAACGTTTCAAAAGAAAAATAGTTTGTATATCGGAAAGATCTTGATTTTCAATGACCGAAAAGCACTAGAAATACTTTGTAAAGCCTTTGTGTTTATTTGAAAAGGTTTTGAAAAAAAATATTTGTCAAATTCAGTCAAATTATTATTCAAAGCAGACTAATAAAATATGTCCAACCATGTCTGAAAAAGGGATCGTTATTGGAAAGTTGGAAAAAACTGGAGGCTTTTTTCTATACATTTGTTCTAACCTTACTATCATAAGGAGCGGGTGGATCAATTCTTAAAGTATAGGCTACTAAATCTTATAGTATACCGAAATCAGAACCAAGAGGGTATATACCATTTCTCATCTCATGCAAGATCACATTATGGGATCACAAACACACCTCTGCTATGTTGTATTCACCTTTTTTGTAAAATAAAAGAATCCTTATGTTTCACAAATTATTTTAACTGGTAAAAGTAGCCAGCCTAATCATAATAAGTTCACCTTATAAATCACGACATATTCATCTAACAAAATAGTAGCTTCTGTTAACATTATAGAATAACCAATAGTTGAATTGATAGTGATTATAAACATGCAAACCACATGATAACATTAGATTAATTGTGGGACATATCTCACTGGTAAACTCTGCAAAGTAGCCGCATTTATCATGTAAACCAGATAAACGGTGCACCCCAAACCCTTCCTGAAAGTCAGAGTCAGCAGAGTTTGGACTTGATTCACGGTTCTCTGGATTTATAGTGGAGTGAGCGCTCTTCATTCTCTCTCCCCTCGTCTCGGACCTCTCGATCTCAATTCTCAGTCAATGAAACAGAACGTCCTCTCTGGCAGTTGCCATGACAACGGAGAAACGATCCCGGCGCATTCCCCGTTGTCACCCTTGCGGTTCCAGGCAACAGCTACACAAATGCAGGAAAACATCCGGAAAGACCCTCGGTCGTCCTTCAGGTCGCCAGAACTTGGAATATTTACAAGGACTTGTTTACTCATCGGTATTCCTGGACATATATTTGCAATAAAACAAACATGACGACTTCTTCCCTTGGTGCGTTAGATCCCGGCGACCCTCGTCTAAAACTGAGGGTGGAAAACAGAATACAAAATATTTTTGTAACACAATCGGAGGACAACAGGTACTGTGCTTTCATTATAGGGCCACAATGAGCAGTCAATTCCCTTTTCTCAACAACACATTTATAAATGTTTGGATTGAATGGTGTTGTCACTGAACATTTTCTCCTCAGGAACCAAAAGGAGGAACATGTTAACCACATACCTGTTGTGACAGAGGTAAGATTTTCATAATAACAAAATGACATAATGTGATTATTAAGATATTTTAGTAAGACTTTTAGTGTTTTGCTTAGACTTCAGGCAGAGTCCTCGAGGCAGGGGTGAACACTTTACAAAAGACCCTGGTTCTGAAGAAACAGGCTGAGTTGGACGTGGTGGATCAGCAACTTGCAGTAAAACGGGCAGTGTTTAAGAGCCGTGTGGAGGGTCTAGCTCAGAGAAGGTCTGAACTGGAATTAAAAACTACAGCAGGTAATTTTAAAAAAACCCCCTAAAAGTAAATAAAAGCATGAATGATCCAATGGATATCTGCTGAAGGCATTTGCCTAATATTACGCATGCCCTTGGGGTCTGTTTTTCCACCCAGACTCAAGAGAGGGCTATCAAGTTTGAAAAGTTTGCGGCTGAAAATGAAGCGAAGCGACGCCGAGCTCAGAAGAAGTACGAGGCCGCACGGGAGCTGAACATTTCCAAACAGAGAGAGATAGAAGCTCACACAGAACAGTTCAAACAACTTAAAGCCAGGTGAGAATCTTCAAAAACCAAGCCTTAATGTAAAGATATTGCTAATTTAGAGACCCTATACCTCAGTTATACCATATCTCCCATTCACAGACATGAAGTGTTAAAGGAGAGAGAATGGCAAAACAACAAAATCTTTGAGGACTACTTGATGAAAAACGCTAGATTTTCTCCCCAGTAGTAAGTTAAACTGACTTGAACTATAAGCAACTTTTACATGAACCTGTACTGTTTATTCTACACAAAGGTTTAAGATGGAACAAACTGCATATCTCTTTCAGCTTACCCTCGATAATGGGTCTGAATCTTTGGTGATGCCCATCATTCGGCGCGCCATGAGACCCTGTCCATCACCCACCGGGACTTACTAACACTACAAGCGTTGGGGACATCTGGAGGAGGAGGTGGAGCAGGGCCAGCGACAACTGCAGATCATGAAGCAGGAGCACAGTATTAAAAAATTGGTCAGACACACAGAAAATGACAGCAACTTTTCATAAATGTACAGTGTTTGTGAATTAAAAACCTATTCAGAATGTTAACATGTGTTGCAGATGGCCAATAAGGAACTTTCTGAGCTCCAGAGTGAGTTAGAAACCCTCAAAGAGAAGAACGAGCAGGCAGAGGTTAACCTGCTGATGGAGCAAGGCCTGTCCAGAGAGAAGGTACACTTTTATGATGCGAGATGGAAAATACCGGTGGAAATAATTTTCAGATAGGACTTTTGGGATATAAATGGTGTCAAATGTGTCATTATCACTCAGGTTAAGGAAGTAGGCTGCCTACTTATGGCCATCAACAACCTGGCCGACCTGTGTTATATAGCAACATATGGACCTCTGGAAAACATGAACATACTGACAAAGATGGACATGGTGAAGGTATGTTGGTTATTACCGGTACTCATACAGTTATTCATGTTCCTTTCCTTACCTTTTAACTTATGAAGAGTATGATTTCAGGAGTACATCCAGGACAAGGCAGACACAGAGAGGAGAGCGAGGAGACTGATGGAGTCGGGGTCTGCCATCACAAGTAGAACAGCTCTGACAGACAAAAGAGAGAAGGGATCAATCAAAAGTATGGGCAGTAAAACACAAATAAAAAATTCAAGTAAAGTCAGTAGAAAGAGTGAGACAATGAGTTGATGTAGAATGTTTACAATGTACCATGGTGTCACTGCTTGGAGTGTAACAACCAATGACCAGGATGAAGACTGTAAGGGCTGCAGAAAAGTTTGACAAATAAACAAATCTATCAGTCAATGGACTCGTATGGCATCATTTTCAGTAAAAAATAAACAACGGTAATGTTTGTGATGCACTTAACTTTGCACTTCAAATGTAAACATATTTTTGAAAATGAGGTGATCAAGTTTATTCAAGCATCAGAACTTTGTAAATGTGTATCGATGGAACATTGCGATTGTTGCATTTTGAAAAAAAATTTTTACAATCAAATGAAGCTGTCAGACCAGAAATCAACACCCATCCAACACCCAATGGCATATACATTAGTATGTATGAGATTTCTAACATATATAGATTATACAAACAACAATGAGGAAAAAAAGCATTTTCAATGATGCATCATAAGATTTTTTGTGATATTCTGCGTTTTATATATGAATACATTAATTAGATTAAATATAGTACAGCAGAGAGTGACTTTTTGTTTTGTAAATCCCAAATACAACACCGCATGATGCATCCATTTGTCATATTCTGTAAACAAAGTTTGTGTTTGAATTAGCTTGTATTTTCACAACTAACTTGATTGTGGCCTCCTCCATGTTGTCAAACACTGCTATACAGGTTTTCTTACAGCCTTCTGGTTCAGACGTCAATTATGTTGCAATGCTCCTCTGGGCAGTGCAGTTAAATAGCTAAACATGTTCAGACACATGCAGATTTTTTCAGGCGTTTATGTTGTCAGTGCTTCTCTTTTCCTGAGGACTGCATAGTAAACTGGGTTGTCGGGCTATTAGTACATATATTTCTTTTTAAATACTTGTAATTAATGTAAGTTTTTTGTTTGTATGTTACTTCCCACTTTTACGTTCCTACATTTCAGGAGAAAATATTAAAGTAAGTAAATTATGTAAGAGCCTCAGTTTCACTAAATGTCATTTTGAGTTTCAAAACACAACAAATGTGATGCATTAGCCCAAAGTAGTGGAAATCAGCCACAGCTTGCCCCCCCCAAAAAAATATAAAATTCTCTTCTTTAAGAATAATTTGCTTATCATTTTAGCTGTACTTTAATGCAATAAACATTTTGACAGAAGCTTTACACTCAAGTATTGCTTTCAAAACTGTCAATCACTCTAGTTTACATGTCCAATGATGGAAATGGAAAACCCACAATAAGCTAATGTGGTGTGTCACATATTGAGCCATAACATGTTTCACTGGTTATTGGTTATTATTTTGTTGGTTAGTGTTTTGCTTTATCAACTCGTTCGGCGTTACATGGTTACAGAACGTCCGTACCAAAGGCATGACGCCAGCATTAAACAGCCGTGTACTGTCCCTTTAACAGGAACACGTGGTACCTGCAACATCCGTTATGCAGAAAATGGAAATAAGATTGCAACAATGTTTTGACACGCAGTTTTGAAGCACGGATTCTTGCTTAACTGTAATTACCTTTTCTTACCGTGTTTCCATTTTGTTGTAATCCGAAGGTCTGTCGTGCGGGCCCGGAAACAGTTTGGTCCGAAAATAGTAAAGCTGTTTGTTTCTCGACAGATGGAGGCAGGCAGCCTTGTCTCATACCGAGAGGACATTTCTACGCTGTTCCCCGAGCACACACCGGGTGCCAAATATAAAGTATGACATTTATTTGGGGTGGGGTCGTTTACTGTATGTGGTCATGGTCTCCCTTCCTAAATCAAAGTGTCCGCCCCATATTAATCCCACCTATTGTCCTTTGTTAGGATTTAAGCAGCCAGTTCCACACCGTCAGACAAGTGCGTGGAGATGGAAACTGCTTCTACAGAGCCCTCTTCTTCTCATACTTGGAGTCAGTCTTACACAATCCCAGGGCTCTGCAGAGGTCAGTTATAATTTTTGACATTCAAATAAACTGAACTCACTGTTTATTCAAAGAGGCCTTGTTTTACTTTTCAGATTTAGGGAGAAAATCCTTCAAACCTGTGAAGACTTCTCTACTGCGGGATTTGATGAGAGTTCCTTCAAGCACCACCTGAATACAGTAAATGATGCATTTCCTTTCAAGTTCTGTTTACTTACCAGGTAGCCTTAGGTTAGTAAAGCACTCATTCTTATAAGCCTGACAAAATGCATTAAATTGCTATGACGTGAGAACACTAGGGATAATTCATTGTTTGAAAATAGTTCAAATAAAAAAATGTTCAAGCAATAAAACAAGGTTTGGCAGATGACTGATGATTAGTTTGGTCCTTTGGTTAGGCCACAACAGTGATGCAACAACGGTAGTGTTGGACATAATGCATGCTAAATGCACATCATGGGAATCCTGGGACAAGACAGGTATAATACTCAAGATAAGAGAATGATTTTGTGGTATGAATCTCTGAAGTCTGATACTTGGATCAGCTGCTGAGCTACATTTAATTCACAAGCTTTCCACATAAAGTAGGTAATTACTGCAATTCAAAACCAATTGGACTTGGTGAATTTACAGTTTTCTGGCAATTATCCATTATTTGGAACGGATAAATCTATTTTTGAATCCACAAGGCACGAAAATGTAGAGTATTCATGGGAGAACACTTTTTTGACAATGTTAGTAACTGTTTGTTTTCTTGAAGGTTGTTACTGTTCTGGAGCAGTGTCAGGCTGATGAGCAGGAAGACACGCTGCTCAGGCTCTTCAATGAGCAGAGGACATCTGACAGTGTGGTGCAATATCTCAGGCTGCTCACCTCAGCACACCTTCAAAACCAGGCAGAGTTCTTCTGCCACTTTGTGGAGGCGCCCAATCTACTAGTCTACTGTCATCAGGTTAGTTCAAACTGTTGCTGCTATCCAGTGAAAAGAAGAGTTGATAGTTAAAGTGTTTTAACAGAAGATAGATTTGGTGTCACTGTCAGATTTGGTAATGTCTCTTCTTTCAGGAAGTGGAGGCCATGGCGATGGAGTGCGATCATGTGGATATCTTAGCTCTGTCACAGGCTCTGGATATTTGCATCCACATCGTCTCCATGGAGGGGGATGAGCAGCAGCTGGCTCACCACGTCATTCCAGAGGGTGCCGAACCCTCCCTGCACCTCCTCTACCAGACGTCACATTATAACATTCTCTACCCGCGACTTCAACACTGACCAGAGATCCACCAGGACTCAGCTTAACTCAGGAATATTGACTTTGGTTCAATAAAATCCCAACTGGGTTTAAGGACACTTGAGAAAACAGATTTTTATATAGTCTTGCAGTGTACAGCGATTTAACATTTAGAAATACATGTTTTTTTGCACATTGTGCAAAAAGTATTTAAAGTTACAATCTCGAAGATCTGTGCTCTTTTTGGCAGCATTTATGCTGATAAACTCTATTTTAACTTTATTTTCACTTCCCAAAAGCAAGAGCTTACATTAGTGGGTCCAAGGCTTTACCACCATTGTGTTATCTCCTTCACTACGATAGTGTTAAACAACATTCATTTTAAATGAAAATCTTCGAATTATTACTTTAAATGTATTTATGTAAACAAATACATAAATCTTCTCTTAATACACATTCCATTAACACGTCACTGCTGCTGCTGCTGCTTTTCTTTCTTCTGCTTTTTCTGCTGTTGTGGACCACGTTTCTTTAACTTCTGTTTTTCCTCCTGCTCTGTAACCATGGTAAGGGCACTTTCCTTTCCACCTCGATGCATGTTAGCCAGTGAGAGCCTTCCCATTTGAGTGGGGTACTTGGTCATGATCTCCCTTTTGAACACAGGCTTGGAGATCAGATATTTCAAATGCTTTTTCATCCCCTTCACCAACTTCTGCTGCTCTCTGTCACCCTCATCATCCCTTGCTCCACCTGTAGACAAAGATGGCATATTCAGTTGTCTGTATTTGAAAATGTTTTAATAAAGGGAACCTGTTACAATAGATGTGGTGTTGTGTTGGTCTTACCAATTAAAAGGTCATCATCCAGGTCGACCTCCAGAGCCTCTGCAGCTTGTCTGAACCAGGAGTTGTGATGCTTCTCCCGGCTGTTGTGGAACTCAATCTTCTCTACCTGTCTGGCCAAGTTTACCCGCTCCTGTGGAGGAATGCACTCAACAGTTTAGGATCAAATGTAATCTTTTAAATATCCCGCAAACTAATGACCTTAAGCTGGGTCTTACCTTGATGGCTTCCATGCATTTGCTCTCAATGGGGAACATGGGAAGATCTTCGTCCTTCCCAAGAGCCTTGTAGATCTTTTTGAAGTTCATCATGTCGTCTGGGCCTATAAGCAGCATACTTAGACCCTCTTTGGTGGCTCTCGCTGTTCTCCCACTCCGATGGACGTAAGTCTCAGATGTCCTGGGAACCTGATGTTTACAGGAGAACATTATAATATAGCTTTGTGCATAGACAATATTGCAGTGAACAGAGTTCTGCAGCTGTATTCGTTAAAATCAAATATCTGGCAATGTAATACCAATGCTCACAACTGGAACCAAAATTAGCTCGATTGTAAAGCATCTCCTGCAGTTTCATTTAACCATAAGGCGCGTTCACACCGGAGTACTTTTACCTGTACATTTCCCGTTTAGTTCCGATAGTGCCTGGAATTTTGCGTTCACACCAAAAAGAGTACTTAGTTCCGAGAACTTTTACCTCCATTTTAGTGCCTGCTAGAGAGGTGGGACTATCCTGGGGAGAAAAAAGTACCAATTTCGATTGGCTGGGCGAATTGCAAACCACTGTATTTGCTGGCATTAGCATTAGCCCCGCGCACCAATGGAGAGAGAATAACTTATGGCAACACAAAAAAAAACATGGGAGCGGTGGAGTGATGAGGAGGTGTCGGCGTTCTGGTGATTTACTCGGAAGGCTTCAGTAGAAGCTGCTGGGAGTCCCAGCAGCTTCTACTGAAGCCAGTCCCCAACTCCGGGGACTTCCGGCCGGGAACTTCGGGTGGCAGTATACGCCGTGAAGTGGTTTGCGGCCTGCCAGTAAACCCAAAGCAGAAGAAGAAGAAGTGACGTCAGTGGCTTCATTTGCATAATCTTCCCTCAGGGACTTATTCCGGTGTGAACGCGATCTGTACTTAGTTCCATGGGGGTACTAATACCTCATTCACACCAACGGTGTTTCGGGGCCAATTCGGAGCTGGAGCTTGAAAAGCACCGGGTTTTCCTCTTCACACCGCAGCGGAGCAGCCTCTTAGCTCCGGAATCCGGTTTGTTTCAAGCACCAACATTTTTTACGGCCAGAGCAAAAGCACCACATACGTCACGCTTACGTCGAGGCGGGGGCAGGGGCGGGATCAACTCCTGAACAACAAAAAGCCGGCGTTGCATCCAGTTTGTACACAACGATGGAGAAACTTAACAAGCAGCATTGGTCAACTGAAGAGACCTACTACTTACTGGGAATCTGATCTTCCGAAGAGGTACAGAGGAAGCTGGAGCACAATCAGCCATTGTTGTTGTTGTCGGTGTCAGCTGTGAGGGGTTTCCGGCGGTTTGGCTTTATGAAGCAGGCACGTCATGACGCAAACGATGACGCAATGACGCAGCACCAGTCGGACTCTGGGCTAAACCGAAGAACCGGTTCTGAACCTGAAAAGCTCTAGCACGGAGCTTGAACCGGAGTTGCGTTGGTGTGAATGAGGTATAAGTGCTGGCACTAAGTGCTGGGAACTAAGTATGGCAAAGTACTTGGTGTGAAAGCGGCTATAGTGTTTATTTTTACAGTTTTTACATCAAAATTCACGCGAGTTAAAAATAAATATACACAATGGACCACAATTAAAAAAGCTTGCCTGGTAGTGAATAACATGCTCAACGTTGGGGATGTCCAGCCCTCGAGCTGCAACATCAGTAGTCAGCAAGACAAAACTGGGAATGAAAAGTTAAAATGTTATTGTTGATTCAGTAACCAATGAATAAATGGTAAATCTTTGAGTTGATTTAATGCAATGTATTTCATACTTAGGAATAAAGGTGAATATAACTTTCTAAGACAGTCTTATTAAAAGAAATATGAAAAATTAAAGTAACACAATGGATATTCTTAAAGTAGGTACTTTGCAATAAATATTTACTTTCACACGTCGCATACCGTATAAAACCCTTAAGCCCTTGCAGTGCACAGGTGTTATATTTCATCATAGGAACACAATTGAACCTAAGCTGAGGTAAATATCTTCATTTAGCTACTTCAAGTGTGTGCAAACGGCAAACCTACCTCTCCTTCTCAGCAAACCTCTCCAGGTTTTTGAGGCGTTGTTTCTGGTGCATGTTGGCATGCAGAGGCAGTGGAGTACAGTCCAGGATGACCAGCAGGGAGTTCAGTCTCTTGATACAGTCTATACTGTTGGCAAACACCATGGTGCGGCCAGGATACTGGAGCAAAAAGTAATAAAGGAAGAAGTCCTTTTCTTCTTTTTGACAATGGATTCGGGTCTCAGTCAGGGACTCCACAGTTGCCTCCTTCCTGGTCAAGTCAACGATTTTTGGTTTGGACTTGATTCCCACTTTCTCCATGAGAATTTCCAGCTGGTTCCTCTGGTCCAGATTCTTCCTCTTCTTCTTCTGCAGGAGGCGGATGGGCACGCTGCGAGCCATGGTCAGTGTAGCAGAGAACACAAAGGTTTGCCTCTTGGGATTAAAGTGCACGGTGTTGAGCATCTCCAAAATACTCTCCAGCTCAGCAAAGTGGCCTCTCTCCACCATGCGATCGGCTTCATCAATTACCAGGCACCTGTCGGAAAAAAACACAACCAGCAGTAGTAAGTAAAAAAGGTGGCATGAAAATTGATATAAGCCAATATGGTCCCTTTTGACCTGCCTATAAGAAACAATGCAAACTCCATATTTTTTTTACCATTAAGAAGTGGTTATGGTCTGACATCTAACACTAAGAAACCAAACTTATTACACTGTTAATTATAAACTAAAGAATTAATAAGAACAAAAGGCTGGATGACAATTGCAGTCGATTTCCTTTAAAATGGCTTAATATACAGATGACACGATGATACAAAATCAGGGTTTTACAAAACTCAGTCATCCAAATGATTGACTCTAAGTATATGCAATTTATTAAAAAATAATATGATGTCCTGAATGGCATCAAGCTTTAGAAAATGTAAATATATGGCAAACATTAGTATAGCAACATTACATTTATTAGATATCATATTGCCATACAGATTTTTTCCATATTATCAAACCGTGAAATAAAGAGGAGTGAATTGTGACCTACTTGAGCTGTCGTAAATTCACCAGATGTGGATGGCGCTCCTGGATCAAGTCCCACAGTCGCCCTGGAGTAGCGATTACGATCTCTGGTCTTCGTTTCAGCACCCTCCTCTGTTTCTCTTGTGCCATTCCACCCACCACTATCGCTGTCTTGATGTCTACACAAAAGTAACATCTTTAGGATCTTGACAATCAATAATTGTACTTTATAATTATTAAAAAAAATCAATGGTAATCATAAAACTCACCAGTAAATTTTGTAATAGCATCAAAATGGTGCTTGACCTGAACTGCCAGCTCTCTGGTGGGAGTGAGCACCAGTCCAAGCAGAGGCTGCCGCCGACCGGCTGCAGCTTCTTCTTTTTCTTCAACGGTGTGTTCAAAACCAAACGTTGCATTTTCAATGACCTGAACACACCCAATCCTATTATCGCCATCTGTTTCTTCAATGTCCTCCTGTTCGTATTCGCTGTTGTGTTCATCTGCGTCACCCTGATCCTCCTCTGTGATGCTTTCACCCTCTTCTCCCTCAGCCTCCATGTCATCCTCCTTGTCTTCTTCTATTGTAGACTCTTCTACATCTGGTAAATACAAACTCTTCACATTTGTGGTTGGTTTGGGGCTATCATCAACAGGCTTTTCTGAACCGCTCTTCCACTGTAGGATGGCGTGGATCATGGGGATACCAAAAGCCAACGTCTTTCCACTTCCTGTAATGACAGTGCTCACATTAGCTTCACTTTGGAAACATGACGACAGATGGTTTAGTGGTGTAAATCACAACAGGTATCAATTATTTGGACACAATAGGACATGTGCTTGTGTCACAATGTCTGCCATGTATATTAACTAACAATAAGCTATTACAAAATAGTTTTAGAACAGGGCTATAATACACATTTAAATGAAAAACAATAAAAAGAAATCATTGGATCATTGAATCGATATATCATTCCAGATCAATGAATTGTGACACCATTATGGTAAAAAACAAAAACTGATGGTATTTATCGTACCTGTCTCAGCTGCTCCCAGTATATCCATACGGTCCCTGATGGCTGGAGGCAGAGTCAGGGCCTGTATGGGGCTCGGTGAGCTAAATCCAAGACTGCTTAGTGCCTTTAGCACAGGGGAGGGGACGAACAGGTCATTCCAAGCACTCACGTCAACATTTTGGTCACCAGAACCACAACGGGCTGCATTTGTCCAATTATTTATCTGCTTTTTGCTTTTGGGGGGCTTTGGCGCTTCATCTTGGGTGGATTTTCCAGGTTTTTCTTTTTCCAAAGCCTGAGGTTCAGATAGAGACTCCTGGTTTGGCTGAGCCTCTGGGGTTTTCTCTTCCTCCATCTGCTGCTCCTGTTTCTTGTTCTTCTTTTTGTTCTTCTTTGTGGGTTTTGAGGGTGCATCAGGTTCTGGAGCAGTTGCTATATCTGTGGAAGCTTCTTCTTTAGGCCTCTCTTTTTCCCTTTCCTCCTCACCTGCAGCTACATCCTTCTGTGTCACGTCCTCAGAGGTGTCATCTGGTTTTTCTGATTCCTTTGCTTTCTTATTTTTATTCTTCTTGGCTTTTTTCTTAGCTGGTTCAGCTGCTTTCTCCCCCTCGTTGCTCTCGGCATCCACTTTCTCAGCATCCACTTTCTCGGCATCCACTGTCTCAGCAGCATCCACTGTCTCAGCAGCATCCACTGT